CATTGACCTTGGTATTTTCCTAGACTGCGGCTACCAGAGGACAAGCTGTCCGAGATCCGTGCGCCACTCATGGCTACTATCAGCGAGCGCAGCATCGGCCAGCGTCAACTCGAGTCCCTCCTGGGGAAGCTCACTTTTGCTGCCCGAGTCATCGTTCCTGGACACACATTCATGCGTGAACTATGATCAGCGTGCCCTGAACTGTATCTGTGTATGCGAGTGCGGTGCATAAAGCCCACCTTGAGAATGGGTTTGCCGGCCCCTTAGTAGATGCGTGGCTTCTGGAGAGGGTGTTGAAGGGCATCCAGCGATGCCATGGTACGGCTGTACTCACCCCTCGCCTTCCTATAACTATGCCAATCCTACGACACCTGACGGATGCACGCCGGAAAAGTAGTATCCTGAATGGCCATGACAAGCTGCTCTACCAAGCCGCCATGCTGTTTCTTTGGATTTCTTCGGTGTGCTGAATTCACTAATGGCATCACACGGGGCTGTACTAGCTCCCCTGGTGACGGACGCTTGCAACTCTTCCTGCTTTCATCCAAGACGGACCCATTCGGTAAAGGCGTTACTAGTGACATTGGCCCGTTTGTACCGCCGTACTGCCCGGTCCGTGCCATTGTTAGCTACCCATTTGTCACTCGTCGCGAGGGACCAGAGCAACTCTTGTTCGTACTCTCGAACAGACAGCAGCTGACCAGGCAGTCATTCACAGTAACAGTATGGTCTCTTGTCGCTGCGGCCGGTGTACCATCCCAGTCGAACTACTCCGGGCATTCGGTCTACATTGGTGCAGCCACCACCGCTGCTATGGCTAGTGCCCCGACTCCTTCTTCCGAGCGGCAGGTCAGTGGAAAGAGCGATGCGTGTCTATGCTACATCCGGACTACAACAAGCGCTAAGCGCCAGCTATCGTCCCGGCTTGCTGCCGTGCCATGGATGCCATGATCCCCAACTCGGGTGAGTAATGAGCTACTGAACTCTAGCTGCGCAATGCTTGCCTGTGCTGACATAAATTGACCCTTGCTGTGCGTCAATAGTGCTTAGCTAACGGAGTGCTGGTTTCATGGGTCCACTCTCACAACTGGTGTTATCTAGCTATTTGCTGCGGCTCTGCCTTGCGCTATATTACATCCATTTAGCATTGCAGCTCTACGTTGAGCTAACAGCAGCTCTACGTTGAGCTAACAGCAGCTCTACTTTGAGCTAACAGCAGCTCTACTTTGAGCTAACAGCAGCTCTACTTTGAGCTAACCGCAGCTCTACTTTGAGCTAACAGCAGCTCTACTTTGAGCTAACCGCAGCTCTACTTTGAGCTAACCGCAGCTCTACTTTGAGCTAACAGCAGCTCTACTTTGAGCTAACAGCAGCTCTACCTTGAGCTAACAGCAGCTCTACTTTGAGCTAACAGCAGCTCTACTTTGAGCTAACAGCAGCTCTACTTTGAGCTAACCGCAGCTCTACTTTGAGCTAACAGCAGCTCTACTTTGAGCTAACCGCAGCTCTACTTTGAGCTAACAGCAGCTCTACTTTGAGCTAACAGCAGCTCTGCTCTGAGCTAACAGCAGCTCTGCTCTGAGCTAACACCAGCTCTACTTTGAGCTTCAAACCAGTTGTTTCGAAACCAGCACTCCTCAATCCAAAGATGCCTCTTTGTTGACTTGTTTGTGTGAGGGATGGGGCTAATGGTGTACTAGCTGTGCTAGTACTTGTTAGCAACAATCCGAACTAGCGCACACACTGCACTGCATTGCTTTGTACTGCATTCAAGACTGACGTCATGCGCTTTGTTTTGCTGCGTAATCACAAATGGCACCAGCCCATTTTGCGGAAAAGAAAAACAAATCTTGCTTGCCCTGTTGTGCTCTTCCAGACAACGGATCGTGCTTCAGCAGTGTTTCTTTTCCCACCATCCCTCCCTATCCAACTTATTCACACCATCATAATTATCGTACCCACTAATCGGGTCCACTCTCACAACTGGTGTTATCTAGCTATTTGCTGCGGCTCTGCCTTGCGCTATATTACATCCATTTAGCATTGCAGCTCTACGTTGAGCTAACAGCAGCTCTACGTTGAGCTAACAGCAGCTCTACTTTGAGCTAACAGCAGCTCTACTTTGAGCTAACAGCAGCTCTACTTTGAGCTAACCGCAGCTCTACTTTGAGCTAACAGCAGCTCTACTTTGAGCTAACCGCAGCTCTACTTTGAGCTAACCGCAGCTCTACTTTGAGCTAACAGCAGCTCTACTTTGAGCTAACAGCAGCTCTACCTTGAGCTAACAGCAGCTCTACTTTGAGCTAACAGCAGCTCTACTTTGAGCTAACAGCAGCTCTACTTTGAGCTAACCGCAGCTCTACTTTGAGCTAACAGCAGCTCTACTTTGAGCTAACCGCAGCTCTACTTTGAGCTAACAGCAGCTCTACTTTGAGCTAACAGCAGCTCTGCTCTGAGCTAACAGCAGCTCTGCTCTGAGCTAACACCAGCTCTACTTTGAGCTTCAAACCAGTTGTTTCGAAACCAGCACTCCTCAATCCAAAGATGCCTCTTTGTTGACTTGTTTGTGTGAGGGATGGGGCTAATGAGATTTAGAGAATGTGTGTGTGTGTGTGTGTGTGTTTGTGTGTGCGTGCGTGGATGTGTGTGTGTGTGTGTGTGTGTGTGTGTGTGTGGATGTGTGTGTGTGTGTGTGGGTGTGGGTGTCCCATATGGTGCAGTGGTATGTGCAGCGATTTCCAATCGATAGGTTGCGGGTTCGATTCCCGACGATTATGGTCACACACGTCTTTCTTCTCTTTCTCAGACTCTTCCTGACTTTTCTTTCATTCTCCTGGGTGGTTACCAACAGCCAGTGCATGCCGGATTATGTGGTGTGATGTGTGTGTGGGAAAAAAAGAAAAAAAAAGAAAAAAGAAAAAAGACCAAAAATAGGGATTCACTGGCCAGAAAAAGTCACTTCAAATAGCTGTATGGTGTAGACCAGGCTGAATAGTGACGGTCAATTCTTCAGCCTTGCAAGCTGTTGAATGGTGCAATCCCAGCACAAGTTGCTATGGCTTCTGCCGTAGCATTGCTATCATCGCCTCCGGCGATGGGCGTCAAAAGGTCAAAGGTGTGTGTGTGTGTGTGTGTGTGTGTGTGTGTGTGTGGATGTGTGTGTGTGTGTGGATGTGTGTATGTGTGTGTGTGTATGTGTGTGTGTGTGTGTCTCAAACTCTCTCTTCTACTCTCCCCTGTCTCGGGGGCGGCGTGGCCAAGCATTTGGCAGCTGTACACCAGGCCAGGTGTGTGTGTGTGTGTGTGTGTGTGTGGATGTGTGTGTGTGTCTCAAACTCTCTCTTCTACTCTCCCCCTGTCTCGGGGACGGCGTGGCTAAGCATTTGGTAGCTGTACACCAGGCCAGGTGTGTGTGTGTGTGTGTGTGTGTGTGTGTGTGTGTGTGATGTAGAGAATGAATGACATATGTGCGTGTGTGTGAGAGAGATTTAGAGAATGAGTGTGTGTGTGTGTGCGCGCGTGTGAGTGTATGTGAGAAAAGGGAGAGAGTGTGGGTGTATGTGTGTGTAATGGTGTGGGCATGTGCGGTCCCCAGCTCTATTCTATGTCATTCACGCTGGAACTGCTGCTGCATAGCCCCAAGTCTGAAGACTTGGCAACTTCATGCCTGCACCTGACTCTTGCACTATAATACCCGTCGCCTATGATACCCCTCAGAATTTCCCACCTTGCTCCCCCTAATGTTCAGGCTGCCCGTTTAGGAGCCATCAGTTGCCTAACGATCGTAGTAATACGTGAAACTCAGAGTTCTGACAAAGCCTCCAATCTCTCTTGTAATACAGAAATACCTATATTCTGCCTGTGACTACTCACAGAGAAAGAGTGGTCACAACTGTACATTCCGCATGTAACTGTTCGCATGGAATTATAGTGGTCACAACTGTATTCTGTGACCGCTCATAGGGAATTATAGTTTCCACAACAAATCCTGCAGTACGAAGCACCCTGCGAGCAGTCACGAACTGTGTACTTTACACATGTACATGTATGGTGATTTGTGACTGGTCATGGGGCATTGTGACTGGTAAACTAATTTGTGACTGGTCATGGGGGGTTTGTGACTGTTTGACTGGTCACGGGGACCGTGATTGGTCACGGGGACCGTGATTGGTCACGGGGCCTTGACTGGTCACTGAGTCCTACATATATACACACACATACACACCTGGCCTGTAGAGCCACTGCCACAGGGGTCACTTGGGCCCAGGAGGGGCAACAGGGAGGAACATGGAGCACGCAGCCTGATGACACCGGAGATGGTGGAGGAAATGGAGCCGGCGAGAACACACGCATACATGAGCTAACGAATTATGCTGCTGGGAAGTCGTGCGGGGACCAGTCCTCGAGCACCGGTGACGACCGCGGCCTTGCGCAGTCCGAAAGCAGCGAGCACGCACAGCACAGCAGGCATCCTATGCAGAGGCTCGACAGGGCTCGGGAGGCTGAGGAGCGGAACAGCTGTGAACAGCTAGACCACCCTTGCTACGAAACCAACTTCCACAATCCCCACCGTGACAAGCCCCTTGCTGCTCAGCAATCGGCTTGGCCCGCTCAACCATACATTTGTGGCGAGCAAAATCTCCAGGGCGCGAGAATGACTGATTGCAATCTGTACATACCACTGGGCCAGGCCGAGGCGCATTCTCCCCATACATAGCCCGCCGGTCAGCACGGGATTTACAGGCGATAGGATACCAGTCCTTGGTGAGGCCACGGACTCTTAGATCGGACACAACGCAATCCTTCCAGTGCTTGCGAGGGCCATGTGCACACACCCAAACACGTCTGCACACGCATGCACCCACACACTCACCCCCCCCCCACACACACACACACAAACGTGCAAAACACTCAGCACAAACACCCCCCCCCCCCCCCCCCGCCCCACACACACGCATTCACACACAAGTATTGAACAGAAGAATTCAACTGTGATTTACCTGCTGTCCTGCATCAAAAGAGCACACCAAATTCTTTGCATCATTCCTTCCGCAGCCGCCGAGCATCTGCAGTTTAGTGATGAAAAGATGATGAGAATAGTGATCTTGTAAGATATGGTTCAGCATTATGTCACAGATGTGTAGCATCATTAGCCAGTACAGTCAGACCTCGCATAACCGCACACGTCCGTTTACACAGAAACATCTGGTTAGTAGATTGAACGGGATAATCGAACACGCATACTGTATGTATGCATGGAATATGCTGTAAATCGGTAACCAACGATTTTCTTCCAGATGGCGAGGGAGCCGGATAAAAGAGCACCAGATTAGCGAGATCTGACTGTACACCACCCAACTGTCAGGAGATCATGAACATCACTTGGTGTAAAATGTATTTGCCTATGCAACTTAGTGAATCAGGGACGTAGCCGGTTCCCCTCTTAGGGGGTTGCACGGCTGCATTTGTATAGGATGGCAGGTGCCTGTTATTCATGGTCATGATGCATTATGTGCATGCTGAACCTAGGTCGAAATTTTTAGGGGAGTGCACGTAAATCACGTTTGACTGTGAAAGCACTGCACAGAATGTCGTGATGCAGTGTCCATCCATTCGATTTGCTCGCGCGAGACGCTGCTCCATCTGATGCTCAAATTTTCCGCATTTTCATCAGTTGACAACGAAAACTCATGCTCCAGACGCTGGAGCAGCATTTTTCACGTGGTGTGACCGAGGCCTTAGGTGGAGGGGAGGGGGGGGGGGGTATGTACTGTTGATAGTTGCCCAGAGATTGAGCTAACAGGAATATTTGTCTACTTCCTCTGTTATGCAAAACTTCGTTGCATTCTTTTGTGTTCGTGTCATAATCTTTATGTTGGCATTAGAGAAACATGTCAGTGATCTATCCCCGGCATACGGTAGCCACGGTGTCATCCATTGTTCTGGCAGGCATTTGAACCTCCGAAGGGCATGGAGTCCTTTTCGAAAAAATCAACGAAGCGTAGCCGTTTCCTGAGAGGATGTCACCAGAACACAAACCCAGGCGGATGACACAAAAGTGCGAAAAAAGAGAAACAGTTTGAAAGACCGTGTGGCTTGCAGAAGTGACCAGAATCTGCCCAGCCACTGCTGTACCAGCACAATTGTGCGAGCCTGCACACAGCCAAAACCAATGCACGTGTGTTTGCAGCGCAGGAGAAAGCAGAAGGATTTGACATTCAGGTTTTCGTTCAGCCGGCGCAAAGTCCCGATCTCAACGTCAACGACTTGGCGTTCTTGCACTGCCTTCAAACAGATGTGTCACTCGTGGCAAAGGAAACCCGGAAGGAGCTTCTGCAGGCTGTGGAAGGGTACTGGCACGAATACCCCGCTGCCTACATGAGGAGCCTTTGGTTGCGTCTATATGGCTCCTTCCATGGCATTCTGGAGAATGGTTGAGACAACAACTGCCAGCATCACAGTGGGGATCGTCAAGCTCACAGTTCAAGCGAAAAAAAAACTTGGCGATTTCCACGATCAATTAGTGTCTCGGAAACTTGTAAAGGCTGCAGAGCAAAAGCTGGCAGTGCTGGATGCGACAGTCAGCGATGATGCAGACTCATCAGGGAGTGAGTCGTCATCACGTCCAGTTGAAGAGACAAGCCGGACTGCTTCGAAACGAGCTGTGTGACACCTGTAACTAACGGTATCTCTCAAATGCTGCTTTTTTCCACTCTGCAAGGCGTTTTTGTGGCCATAGAATGCTTTGGACTGAACTGCAAAATGCAACAAAGTTTTGCTTAGGTTGCGCTCACACGATGCGCAAAAAGACGGATACAGGTAAGTGACCATGGTGATTAGGTCGCGTGCCACGAACATCATAATCGTACCGAGAAAAGCATGAACTCTTGCTCGGAAACTCCAGAGGGGGGGGGGGAGGGGGGGGGGGGTGGGGGGAACGATAAAAGTATAATCGCTGAGCGTTTATGCATAATGTCTGATGAATACCATACTGTTTTACGGCTTTTTCTGCTCGAGTGCCTGTCAGTTTGTTGATGCCCAGTACTCAGACCGCAGAGTAGTGGAGAACTCCGTGGATACTTAGCATCCGCCGAAGCAAATGTCTTCGAAAAGCCTTGGACAGCCTACCGAGCATCTTGGTACAGCAGCAAATGTTGCCATTGTTGCGTGAGCGAGATGAAATCACTGTGCAGCCAGAGGTGCATGCCCCGACTTCTCCTTCGCGAGAAGAACAAAACTAGCCGAGTCGATCCCTCCTTCATCTCGTCAGATATATGCACTAAGAACGCGACCTCAAGACTTTGAAGTCTCAACAACCAAAAAAACACCAGTGCAGCATTATGGTCATTCATCCTGCATGAGCCGTCTTTTCCAACAACGAAGAAAAAACTCGGTGGCAATCCACATGATGAATATTTCATTTCTCCGCGCGCCCGGCGAATTTCACCACAGAGTAGGGAAATAGGTTGTTTTACCCTCTCTGTGATACTTGTAAGCATAAAAGTCTTGTGTGAGCGCGATAGTACTTTTCTCGCTCACCGTGAAACCTTTCTCGAAAGTGTTTGTCGTCGTGTAAGGCCGCAGTCACACATGAAAAGCTTGCACCGCTTTTGCGGAGGCGGAAAGCGGACCTAGCGCAGCCGCTTTGGCGGACCACACGATGCAGCGGTCACACATACATGTAGACTACTGTGCTCCTCAACGCTCCGCTTTGGCGGAGAGAATGCAAATGCAGCACGTCCTATGAAATTTTAGATGTTCTTGTCCGAGTTGAAGCGACCTTCGCTTGTACAAGTAGAGCTATTGTGGATCGCTGACAGGCTGCTGAATGTCTCCTGTCAAGTACACTCGTGGATTTGGGGCACATTTACTGCGGCCTAGCACGGGTGTATTTGAATATTAGTTTAGTTTACATCACTATCAAATTCAAATAGTTTTATAGCAGGGTGCCGTTGCCTCCTCCATGATTCATCATCGACCCAGCGACTGCGTGGATGCCTGCAGTTGCAGTGAGGGTGTGGCAGAGTACTCTACTACTCCCTGGTTGCAGTCCTAGTGTTGCATACTCTGGTGGACGTATTGCTTGGAGAGAGTTGGAGATCGTCCGCGATCAGGGCCAATGAGTTGGGAGACGGATTCCCTCACCAATTATCCACTCATAATGATGCAGTATTGTTTGCGAGATCTCCAGAACGTACAGTTCATTGGCAAAGAACAACAAAATGAAAACTGAATACCAAACGGCAACCAAACAACACCAGAACTCAGTGCAGAAGTAGCACACCAAACTCCAAAGCCATCACCATGCAGGTTCCGCCAAAGCAGATCCGCCAAAGCGGAGGCTCCGCTCGCATTTTTTTGGCGTAGCGAAATCCAAACTTTCCGCCAAAGCTTAACTTACGCCTCCGCCGTTGCCTCGGCAACGGCGGAAGCGTAAGTTACCTTTTGGCGGAACCGCCAAAAAAAGTGCATGTGTGACCGGGGCCTAAGCGCAACCTAAGCCGAGGAAGTACATCGACCTACTTCATTTTCAAACATTTATCAACAAATTAATAATAGTTCTCATGCTCACCTGCCATCCAGGTCGTTCGCAGGGACATGTGCCTCTCAGTGTTCGCATTCCGCCAGCACAATGGTGACTAGACCCCTGACATCGTCGCGGTCGTTTTTTGTCGAACCGTCATTGGCAGGAACCTCCAAAGTGCTTAGGGAGTCATGACTGTGTCCTGCCCAATGGCGAAATGTCGTGACGCATTTCCAGTCGATGCCGACGAAGGACTCACCGGGTTGAATTCCGCTAGGAACGCCGCTGTCTTCGTCCAATTTATCGAATGCCACACCAGAGCGAGATAATGGCTTCCAAAGCAAGGAACATGCTGTTCACCCCTGTCTTCTTGCATGGACGGCAGGGGAAAAACGACTATGGTTATTTGTTGCGTCAACTACCTTTCGGCTTGCTTTTATCTTCGGCAATACAACATTTCTACACAATACTAGTAGTACGACTTTTCCTTTGGTATCGATAGAAAATCTAGGAGCAACTCAGTTGCGTCCCGGGTAGGTATAGTCGGGTCCTCTATCTCGAGGACATCCAGAGTAGACGTACAAGTAACTCATTCACCAAAGTATTTACCAGGGCAGGTGAGCTGTCCTTGTTCCAACTGTGAAAAGGCTCAAGGGAGCACAAGGTCGATAGCCAACCAGAACATGGATCCAGGCAGGAGAAAAATTCATGATTATTTTTATACACCTATGATTCGCATCATCGCAGCATAATAACGACTGACTTCAGCTTTCATTCAGACTACCGCCGGCGCTAAATTATAATCTACACATGTGTGTGTGTGTACTTCATCGTCTTCATTCAAGGAGGCAAGAAAATACGACCCGCGACTCAAACAAGTACTACATAAGTAGACCCCGTTTGCATTTCCATTGCGTCATGCAGAGTACAAAACCCCATCCCAGGAAGGGGGTGCATAAGCCTTGGCGCTGCTTTCGGCACGTTATTATATTAGTACTCAATATTAGGATTTCTTGTTGGCGAAAGTGTTACCACAGCTGAAGAGAAGGGCTACCATGCATGTAGATCTACCATGATGTGCCACGACACCCTGATCGGAACGTACATCATGTGTTAGATCCACTTGCGACGATTAGATCTTATCTCACTACTAGTGTGACAATATTTATGACAACATGCGCAAATAAAATCCAAAAACATGTTAATGTTGGCACCGATACCCCACTTTTTCCTTCACGCTTGAGCCGAGGGAAGTAAGTTGAGGGAAATTGAGGCGAGTGTGTTCCTACAGACGTGGAACTTAATCCTATCTACATTCGAACGGTGATTTTCACACATTTTATTGCATTTGGGATGGTCACTCTATTCAGATAAAATAATTATTGATCCGATAGCAAGTGATGTCATACTTATCATATTCCTAGATGTTGATCGTTTTTTACCTTTTTCACATTGCATGTTTCGAGGACCTTCTTATCCACACGTTGCAAGCCAAATTATTGATGATATAACAGCTAACATCATCGGACAGCACCCTTGGCAAGCAAAGTTATAATTGGCTAATTAAATTCAAGCAGGTTATATGGAATATTAACCTGAATGCGGCTCTTATTTATCGGGTGAAATGAATGACACGGGACACTATCATACACAACCAAGTTAACGAAAACTGATACTAGAAATGACGAGACGGAACATTCCCTAATACGATGTAAATGGTAATGCCATAGGATTTGGCCATTATCTAACACAAGATTATAGCAAATAAGAGAACAGCGAATGACGTACTTTTTACAATAACACTGAATTAATCAGGGTATGATTTTGGGCGTTTTGGCTCTTCTACTCCTCCACATGCGTGTTTATTCAAACATGGAGTCCGAGTTCAAATCATATATGGCTATACATGTATGGGAGTGGGACATACGAACCATCAAAAATGGCTTTTTACCGGCGTCAATCCGTGCATTATGTTCCTTGATAAGCTCGTACTCAAAGGAAATATGCTTAATATTATAGGTATCGAGCGATTCACGAGAGCGTGATATTTGTATTGTCTCACCAGAACTGCAGCCACTAATAGGAGTAGGCAGTGAACGCTTTTTAGCAGAGGATGCAAGAAGCAGTTTCATTTTCTGCTCACTCTGTCTACAGTCCCATGTAAACCCTATTTCTAGTTTACTGGATGCGCAGTGCACAATTTCTATTGCAACTGCAAAATAACGTTCTTGAATAGGTTCTAGTGCTCGGATGCTAGCATTTCCATCCTTAATATGGCGCAGGGTGGTGTAAGGGTATACGCAGGGCTCAGTATAAAAATTGAGGGATACGTCAATGAACTTTCTCGGAAAGCTGTCGGATTCATCAAATATAATGGCTCTGCTTTTGTACACCATAAGGGTAGCCATAACCTTAAAAGAGCCCAATTTGAATATTTCATCATTATTATTTATTATGTCCTCTTCTGAATTTGGCACGGGAAGAGGACGATCTAAGCATATTTCCAGAAAGAAGACACCATCTTCATGACCCTGGAAGCGAGCATGTACTGCGCCTTCGCCGTAACTTGATATCGGCACTGCCACTGGGACCTCCGCACCATCAGATTGGATTTCAGTTGCCCAGATTTGAATACTGCAGACTTTCAATGCGGGTTCAGATATGGGATTGCCTTGCCAATTATTTACCAAAGCTGTAATTTTCGTCTCTTCGCCTACATAACCGATGTACCTATCGTTCTTTTCTGAAAATTCACACCTAGACAAATCGATATCAGTGTTGTCCACGACCTTTCCTGTACTGCCGATAATGCCTTCCCAACCTGAAAGGTTCTGGCGTTCAAACGCTAATCTTTGCATCCGAGAATAATTCTTGGGGAGGTGCTGCAAAGAACTTGTAACAACTTCAGTCAATTGTGGATGCATTTTGAGGAGATCTTCATTCCTCAGAGAAGATTTGCTAATGGTTTGGAAGACAACTCCGTTGCGTTCGGCCAATGTTTGAGCATGTAGCTCACTCAACTTCTTACTGTGCAATTCCGCCTCCTTCATCAGTTCTTCTTTTCGTTGCTTGATCCGGTGAAGTTGCTCGTCGCAGTGTTCATGTATCAATCTCTTGATATCAGCTACTTTCCCTTGGAGGTCACAGCCAAATGCTTCAATGAGATCACCAGCGTGTTTCATGCCTGCTTCCACTTCTTCTTCCTTGTCTTCGGGTGATATGTTTCTCAGGCGCTCCGTCAGTCTGCGACGTAGGGGTACAGCTTTTGAACTGATAACGCCAATCTGATCAGCATGAGAAGCGTGTTTGCTTTGGAGTTTACACTTTTCACACAGAACCTCTTTGCATTTGGTACAGTAATGTCGAATCTTCATCTTGCCGTGGACAGGACAATGGTGCACTCGCCCCTGTCGAGGTATCGTTTTCTGGCCACTTTGGCTGGAGCTGCTTGATTCTGGTGGAATGGTATCAAGTTGCATCTTTTCGCAATGAAGAAGTGGATGATCTGCATCACTAGCGCACTCCACCCTCGGTTCTGCATGATCGTATGGAACATTGTCGAACATGGAATCGTCCACCAAAAGCTGTTCGTGATTGCGACCAGGAGGTGGACATGGCGTAGGACGTCGACACTTGGCACAGAGTATTGTCCCGTCTTCTTGAACACTGGCTGGCAAGCATTCCATGCAGATCTTGTGAAGACAGCTGAGGAGTCTTCCTGCTTTATTGACTCCATCTCTGCAGAATACACAGGGTGGCCGCATCATTCAGTTGCACAAAGTCAACTGATAAACAGAATAAGCTACTGTTTGTTACGTGTATACACGGGCAAGACAAAACATAGCGGATATGAACTTGACCAGGGAGTACACGTCGCTGAGAACAAGCTTACAACATGGCTTAGAGGATGTGATTTATTTTCTTTTAACGTCACTGAGAGAGGAATATGACTAAGAGGAAGTGAGCTGATAGATAACACCGCCATACATAATTCCAGCGCCATGTTTGTTAACCACTTGTGACTTAACGGTATAAGGAAGATGTGCAACATATCGCCTTTGGAATAAGATGACAATTATAGGGATCTGTGGCGCATTGGTGAGAACACTGTTTAGCTAGTAGCTGATTCATTCCCTGGTTCTATTGGAACGACGACTGGGATCAAAAATCACAAGCGAGCGCAAGTGATTTTCGAAATTACTGCCCAAGTCTTTCAGAAATTTAGGTGCTAAATATTTTCAGTATGAGGGCAAAAGGCCAGGTTTGGAGACCAGAAATGTTAGGTACAGAGAAGCAGTTTCCTATTGGATTAAGTGTGTTAGTGTTTTTTTAGTGTATTGAAAATTTAGGTATGAAACAGAGGCACCAAAAGTACCGAAAATAAAAGCACACCGAAAATTTGTAACATTACAGTATGTTGTGAACAACTCCCATGGATAGATGTCCAGCCTGTAGCATGGTTTTGCCCTCATCAATCTCTGTGAGTTTACGAGGATGTGCGCTTTCTCATACGTGCGTTCATGTTTGTATGTGTGTGCCCCTGTTTCCTCTAGAAACGTTTTGCCCCCTCTCGTCCAAGTTTGCATTCAAACTTGAAAATACCTGTGTTCACTGCCACAGGGAACATGCAGAGAAGTGTCAAGATGCGCTTCAGCAAAGGAGACTACAGTAAGGTAACACTGGATTACAGCAATCTATGCATGGAATCAACATCGGGTTTGGTTTTGGCACAAAGATACTAAGTTATCATCAGCGAATCTGTAAGCCAAAAAAGAAGCTTGGTTACTCACTAGTACATTTAGTTGTATTTTGGAAGCTAAGCCACTATCCCTCCTATCCTTTTTCCAACATGTACATGTAATGGCATTTTCGTGCCACCATCGATAGCTCTGCCGTGTAGTGACGACACCTTGCTGATTACATGCTCGAGGTATCCGCCGCCTTCCAATATAGCCTTATGCGAAGTCTAGATTAGTTCCAAACCTCCGCGAATTAAACCTCACGCAACGACAATTGAAAGGGCGAGGGGCTGTGCATTGCTGGAGCTGCAGTGTCCACACCTTGGTGGAAAGCAGCTAGGCCTCCGCGGAATATGCTCGTATTTTTACCGATACTTCCTTTGAGCATTGCTCAAAATTTCGACCGATTATTCCCGTAATTCCACCAATAGTTCTCACAAGAATGCTTTTTCTTCCCTTTTTGCCGATACCGTACCGCGTACAGGTTTTTTTGCACCTGTAAGGGCAAAAAAATCACGGTTCGCGTGATACTCGGCTGTAAGCTTTTTTCTTTCTTTTTGAAATACTGGGGGATCAACTTCAGGATCACAAGCTTTTTGGTACTAATCAGGGTGTTATAAATGGAAACGAAATTGAAAAAAGGGCTCAAATTGCTCAAATTTTACCGATTATTCCACAAAAATTGCCAATAATTCCCGTTTTAAAAATCACACCGATAATTCCCGAAATTATGCCGGCACATTCCGCGGAGGCCGGCCTAAAAGCAGCAGGAACGATGGCATTGTTCGTAAAAGTAAGTTGTCATGCATGAGATCCTAGTGATCGGCTTGTTAGAAAATAGAACCAACAAAATTAATGATTGCACCATTAGCTGAGTAATCAAATCTTTGCACGAAAAGGGTCCCAATTCCTAGATGATACCGACTTTACCTACGATA